CGGGCCACACAAAACGCCCCGGCAGCCCCAGCCGGTTCACCGCGATGACATTCGCCATCAGCCGCTCGATGGCGTCGATGTGGGAAGACGAATAGCCCCGAAAGGGCGATGAGGCCCGAAAGGAGGAAAGTTGTTTGAGAAATGGCCACAACGACCCGGCGGCGCCATCCCGGGGGGTGGTACCGGCGCTGAGATCGAGAACGGCGGCCAAGCCATCCGCCTCGAGGCCCTGCAAAAACTCTACGGGGGGGACGGCAGAACACCCCGCATAAGGCCCTTGGCGGCCTCGCGCAAAAGCCTCACAACGCCGTAGCTGCGCAATCAAGTTCGCGCCGGTATAGTGCGAAGAGGATGAGGACAACAATGGGGAAAGGGAAGAAGGCGTCGACGCGTCCCGCACCGCGGAGTCTGTATTCGAATGAACTTCCTCCTCCTGGTAGCGACGGATCACCTCCTGTAAGGTCGAGAAGAGGCCAAGAACGGCCTTTCGCATATCCCTGAGCGCTTTAGATGGTTCAACACAATGAAATTTACCCTTGAAAGATGATTGTTCGTATATATAATGCGGCTACGTACTTTGCAATACTACCCCGTCCTTGAGCCTAATTAAAAGGCATAGCACGAATTCCTATCGATAGAGGCAGCACCTAAATACAACAAGAAAATAAGTCAATTAAACGCAAGTCTGAGAAGAAAGAAACAAAAAAGTATCGGAGACTTCATGCATTTTGTTCCGTCGTGGTCCCATTCACTCAAGAATTTATACCATAAAAAAAAAAACCCTGTATAGCAAAGAGAATCAAATTGTTACGCGTAATAGATTAGTTATATACTTATAGGCCCATAAGTACATATCAAGCAAAAGCGGAAGAACAGGAGCCTTAACTCGTATCCGACGCCCCTACCCCTCCCACCCCCTCCCTTCCCTACTTCTCCGTCTCCTCCTCATCGTCCTCGCTGGCGCTGGAGGGCTCAAGTTTGAGAATTTTATTCTGCCGTGGCTTCCCGCGCGGGTGATTGAGCTCACCGACGATCTTCTTGACCTTCTCGACCCTTTCCCGGCCCTGGGCGTCGTCCTCGAGGCGGTTGTACGAGTCGAAGCCGTCGCCGCCCTCCACCGCGATCCCGGTCGAGGCCACCAACGCCGCCAGAGAAGGCGGCGGCCAGTACGCGCTCTTCTCCACCACGTCGAACATCCCGTCGTCCGGGATGGGGTCAAACGCGAAGTTCGCGGCCTTCGCCCCGCCCGAGCCCCCCTCCCCGAGGTCGGCGAAGATCGCGTCGACGTTCACCTTCGGCACGACGCTCTCGCCCTTGCGGGGCAGGCGAAGGGTCGAAAACTGCTGCGATTCGAGCGCTTTGTTCGTCAGACGAATTCGCTGCGGTTTGCGCGTCGAATTCTTAGGATTACTCTTGTGGTGAGTGGGATTACTATTAATATTAGCCGATCGCCCTCCAGAGGGCCGCCCCTGAACTGAGGAAGACATGCACTTTGGGTTTGCTTTTCCACCTCAAATTATCTCTTTCCATAATCATAATCAAAAAGAGCAATGGATGAAGAAAGAACGTTGGGTGATAAAGCTCAACATGGAATTGGGTGCATAGATATGCTTGCATGGAAAATAGATGTTTGAAAAAGGTCTACCTGTTGATTAGGGTCTGTTTTCTTTCCTTACTCATCCCCTGACGAAATGTTCAAAGTTGGTTTAGCAAATAAGATAAGGAAACTCAGCGCATCTTCGAAACTAAAAGATACTTTGAAAAAAAATAGCAGATTATTTCTCACTCACGCTTTCTCTCTTTCTCTCTGTCCCCCCGCCCTGAGGATAAGATACTCTGATTACAGTAAAATGCAGTAAAGAATAAGCAAAATCACCATCGCCGCGGCGTAGTCCGTCGGTTCGGAGAGGTGTGAAGCATGAAATTCGGCATCCCGAGCGCATTCCCTCGCCCGTTCGCCCGCAAACGGCGGGGCACCCTGACCGATGACCGCGTATTTATCCTGCAAAATGCGATTGGCGTGAAGTAAAGTGGCGTGTGCGAGCTGCGGGGTGCCCGAGCAGAGAATCAGCCACAACGGGAGAAGAAAAAGTTGAGCGGCGAGGGCGCCTGCCGGATAAACAACGCCCTCAACCCCCGAAGAGGAGCTGCGAAGCATTGCGAGCCAGGCGTCCTGGCCGGCGGCCTTGCCTTTGAGCTCTTGGAGGATCTGCGGAAACCCCCGTGCGGAGCGCTCGGGGTATTGGCAAAAGGTCGAAACGTAGTGAACCACCAAAAGTCCGAAAAGGGGACCCATCGTGAGCGATTCGATCAGGGCAAAGTGGCGTGCGCATTGTGGGGAAAAGGCCTTGGGAGTCCCCTGGATGAATAAATGATGCCCCGCCATTAGATCCGCCAGAAACTCCCCGCCTCGGGTTGGGTACCAACTAAAGAAGCTTTGAATTGTGGATTTGGTATTAAAGTAAGCCGCGTTGGGGTTCCCACTCCCATAAAATCCCCGGCTGGAAGGATTAAAAAGTAAACGAGGTCGTCGAAACATGAGCGTTGTTAATATTTTAAAAGGAATTCACCCACTTATTTGATAATGTTTGGGTAGTTGTGAAAGTCGATGAAGCAATTTAGGCGGTCACTATAAGTTTTTTCCCCCTGACTCGCACTGTTTTTTGACTGGTATGTTGATCTTCCGCTCTATGTTTGGCAAAGTATAACTATGAAGCTATCTATATAGTGTACTTATATTTTTTTTATTTTCTTTTGTTGTTGTTGTGTGGATACTAGTAATAACAGCAAATCAAGTGATATCGATTATCTTCATCGACATCGGTTCAACAACGGTAGAAAATAAAAGACAAATGAAAGGGGAAAAGAACACATTTTTCTTTCATATGGAGATAAAAAAAACTAGCCGCAAAAAACACTCCCTGTATACAGACATCCACCACTGCGGCGAAACGTCTTCGCCAATAATAAAATAAAATTTTAAAATGAGCTTTTATTCAAATAATGATAACGATTTTACTCGAGTCCTTCACCGTGTGCGTTGACCTTTAGTAGGGCATATAGGCATCGTAGTCGGAAACACGGCGTGCGAGCACCTCGACGTTCTTCGGCCGCACAAACCCGCCCATGCGGGTGCTTTTCTTCGGCTCCGGGAGCGGCTTGCCGGCCTTCTGGGCGGCCCGAAACGCGCGGAAGTCGCGCTCCTTCTGCTTAAAGGCCTCCTGGCAGCGGGACTTGCGAATGTGCTCAAAGCGCACGCAAATCCGCTTGCGCAGGGTGCGGGTGCGGACGGGTTTGTTGACAATCACGCCCACACCGCGGGGGGTGACGTTCCAGACGATGCCGGTGCGGCCGTGGTAGTATTTGTGGGGCATCCCCTCCCGCACCGCGGCGTCCGCGACGACGTCGACGTAATCCCCGACCTTCACATTCGTCAGGATGGTCGAGACGGAGGGCATGCCATGCTTGCGGAACTTCTTCGCAAACAAATGGCGGGTGCCGCTCTTCAGACCGTAGGAGTGGACCATGATTTAGTGATGGATGGTTCCCCTTTTCGTTTTTATCCTTGGGCCCTTTTACACGTCGGTAATGCTCTACTACACGAAGTATACCGCTGGAATAAATTTAAAAAAAAAGGAAGAAGGAGGAGGAGGAGGATCATTCGCGCATGGGGTAATCCGAAAGGTAAACAACGCATTAATGATAAAAATAATAATAACACAAAAACTGCCATGAGTGAAGATCCATTTTGTTGTTGTTAGAAAAGCACTTCGGATCATGAATAAGAATGGAACAAGTGATATAGCTAAACCCACTAGTCTATTTAGTCTCCTGTTCATACAGCGATGTTCATCTGCTGAAGTATTCAACGGTGTAATGAGAACTAGCAAAGTAGAAAAAATTATACAGACTATAGAAAAGAACTCCCTCAGACATATTGCAAAAAAGAAGGAACAGTCAATCAATCTATCCGAAATGTAATGTCTTCTCAGTGCATCTCTTGAACAGTACCTGAGAAGGTGATCATTGTCGTGAAATCGCGTTGAGGAGAAAAAATCTATTTAACACGCCCTTCCCAATAAAATGGGCTAACGGTAAAAGAAGCATACAACTCGATGAGATTTAAATATCGGTATACAACATCTCTTAATCATTATTAGCTTTACGATTATACTATTTAAACGTCTCAGATATCTGTGGGTGATACCAGCGCATTCATCAAAGCGATTCCTAAAGCCCCACCCATGTGATGCTGAGGCAGCAACATGATCGAGGGGATCTTTGGCAGTCCGGATGCCCTTCCTTCCGCCGTTGTGGGGGCCAGCAAACGCGTGTTGAATAGTTTTCGTGTGGATCCTAAAATACGCCGGGAGCGGTGTGCAATGCACTGGCGAATTTCGTGTTGGAGTTCGCTGCCGCTCCGCCCAGTGGTGAGCTGCCGTGGCAGGCCGAGGTGCAGGATGAGATCAATCCGGCCGCACCGGGTGAGCGTCTGAACCTCCCGCCCAACGTGCAGCTGCGCGTCCGTGATGACCAGCACTTCCGCGCGGTGCTGCGCGAAATCCTCGGCGTTTCCGGACGCCGTGATGGCAAGAACCTCGACAAGGGAGTCCGCGACGCTTTTCAGCTCTGAACCCCATGATGCCCCCGAGAGACGATCTAAAATGAGCTGCTGCTCCCGACGCGTCGAGCAGATGACAACGACCCTTCCGCGGGCGCGATGGGATGTTTTCTCTGTGGAGAAAAACTCCCGAATAACGGCCACAGCCTCGGCTAGTTTAGCCTCTTCGATAGCCTCACCCCTCCCCATGCGATCTCGAGATGGTGTTTGCGAATCGCGGGGGACGGGAGCGACGGGAACAGCACGCACCTCGACGTTGATAAATTCCCAGATTGACTCGTCACAAAGCTCCCAGACGTGCAGGGCGCGCGTCAAGGCGGACGGTGGGAACTCCTCGACGCCACCGGCGTCCGGCAACCAAGAGTGGCGGATCTGCGCCTCCACCTCACGCCCGCAAGATCCCGCCGTGAAGAGGAACTGACATTCAACATCCACCGCGTTTACAACGGCGATCCAGTGGGCGCTGGGGAACCGCTCCTTCCATGGTGGAAGCACCAACGTCTGCTCGGCGTTCAGCAGCGCACAGACGCGGACCTGCTCGAGGTGGAGCGCGGCCGAGACCCCGCCGGTGTGGCCCAGCGCCCCGTGCAGCGCGGCAACGGTGCACAAAAGAACAGGCACACGCCGTGTCAGGGCGCGCGGACGCCCTTCCTGTGGGGGACCCAAAGGCTCCCTGGGCCCCTCAGCACACGGCGGAACAGACACAGGGGCGTCCTGCAGGGAGGCCAGGGCTTCCTGTGGCGCAGGAGGGTGCCCGTGGGCGTGGTGAGCTTCACTGGGACAGTTCACTGCAGTGGAACA